TAACAAAAAGAACAAAATGTTGCATACAAGTTTATAACTTCATGGAGTTAGCCATTTTTTATACTTCGATATGTGTTTTTTTTAATATTCACGTAAAGCTTAATTAGCATGTTGGCTATGATTCATACTATATACTTGTATAAAATCGAATCACATGCTTTTTTTGAGTGCTGGATTGCTCAAAAAAACTTTTTTTTCGTTTTATTGTTAAAATATGACTAATTTTTATATAAAGTGTAGTGGTGATGGTGCGTGTTAAGAGGACTACATATAGTCCTTATTCGTTTTGTATATTGTCCGTATTTACTAGTCCTTATTATATTACATATTATAGTAATGCATTTTAGTAATATTTACGAATTCGCATTGATACTGTGACACAATCATTTTGCTTCTTGAAGGCAACTTTTGCAATAAACTTCGAATGTTTCAGTTTCATCATAAAATGAATTATTTTTTATGGATATTTAGCACTAGGATTTTGATACGAAAAATATGATTTAAATTTTGTGCTCTAATTTTGCATTAAAACTGGACCAAAAATTTTTGGGAAATCCTCTTGTTATTGAAAACTAATACATATATAAAAGTAGAAAATAGTAGTTTCTCTAAATTGTTTTGAATTTCTTTTAAATGAATGTCAAATGCTTCTAGGATTAATATATTCCTAAATGTAATGGGTAAGAATTGCAATAAAAATTATAGCTCATAGGAAAACGTAGAATTATAAAAAAATCAGATAATTATGAATTTTCTCATTTGTATTCAGAATTCTTGCATCTTTTTCTTTAGCATTGTGTCATCTATGAGTGTTTCACTAATGACCTAGCTAACTACAGTGTTATCAAATGAGTCTTACAAAAATGAATATATTGTGATGCTTCAAATCATTAAAACAGTATAGATAATGGATATCTGGTTATATCTTTGTGTAAGGTTTTTCTGATTTGTATATAAAAATATTTGAGTTATATTTATTTTATTGACAAATGTTTAGAAAGCAGACGTAAAACTCTGATTGACTTAAATGAATGTAGGTCTTTACATTTATGACTTAAATGAATGTAGGTCTTTATACTGAAAATAATGCTAGTTTCATAACTCCCTACAATTAAATATAATATGAATTTCTTGCATATCTATGAATTTGCAATTTGAAAGACACACAATTTGCATTTTTGATAGTCCAGTATCAATGAACACATAAATTCAGAAATTTTAATGAAGAAGATTTCTACTTTTTCTACAATATTCATTTAATTTATTTACAGTTATGTATAGAGTTTGAGCTTAATTTCAGGAGAGGAGACTAGAAATGTTAACTTTTTGTTTACTCGTTTACCTGTTGTAAAAGTATCTGGAAGTGGCATTCGAAGGTAATTTGAAATTTTTACTTAACTTTAATATCTTCTACAATTTAAACAAAATGAAGTAATGTGGTATGCATTATAGAAGAAGATATGATTTTACTAAATAATTACAATATTATTAAAAAAAAAACTGGTGTAAATATCTTATTTTTCTTTCATGTCTTTCTTTTTTCTTTTGCTTTTTTTTTTTTTTCCATTAAATTACTAGACAAATTGCGTACTTTTGACCGATCTTACTAAAAAAGGTTTGGTTCCTGGAGTAATCATCCAAATAATTTTTAAAAATCATTATAAAATGTGAAAAAGGTTGGATAGGAGGTAGTCAGCTGAGGAGCATTTGATATTTTCGTTTGAAAAGTAAAAAAAAAATATATATCTCTTTTCTCATTTTAGATCTTTTTTTTTTTTTTTTTTTTTTACACAAAACCAACCTTATCTCATATAAAAAAATAAAGCTTTGAAAACTACAGATCTCAATAAGTTCAATCTCAGTGCAGATTTCAAAAGTTCTTTTGATGCCCTTCAAGTTCCATAACAGACATAAAAATTCTTGTCAAAGGCATCTCTCGTGAATAAAAAATACATTTTTATTTTAATTAAAAAGAATAAATATTTTAGTTAAATAATAGTTTTACTTTTAATAAACATTAAGTTAAATTAAATTTAAATAATTCTCTTGCGCATTGATTTAAGTAATGAAATTTGAATTTAACAAACATTCTCTATTCGTAAAAAGCAAATTTAAAGTTAATTAAATTTTAAATTATGAAATTTAATTGTAAACAAATGAATGATTAATTATTGCTGCGAACTAATCTGCAATATCATTTAAATTCTGAATACATGGATGACGAAACACGAATTGAATAATTGAAGAGTTAGGTTTGGAGGCAACTTCCCTTGATAAGTTTGTCTCCTGCCTGCTCAACAATTATTCACTTATGCATTTAAAAATTTTTTTTTAGGATTAAAAATGTTTTTGGAATTATATATTTATTCATGGATTTTTATACTTTCACGTAATTTATATATGCTCTCAGAATTTAAATGATATTGTAGATTAGTTCGCAGCAATAATTAATCATTTATTTGTTTGCAATTAAATTTCATAATTTAAAATTTAATTAACTTTAAATTTGCTTTTTACGAATAGAGAATGTTTGTTAAAGTTTTATTTTAATTAAATATGTTTACTTTTTGTTTATTTGCATTTTTTCTATTGATTAGTTCTTAAATGTTAATGTTTTTTAAAGAAATCGAAAGTTGATTAAAGAAATTGATATATTAATATATGAATATAATATATGAATCATATGCTGAAAAATTCTTTTCCTATGCTATTTACATACTCAAATGAGTTTTTTTATACTGAAATAAGTACTGGATATATACTGAAAAGTTTTTTTACATTCATATACTGGAAAAGTATTTCCTTATGCTATTTATATAGTGAAAAATGTTTCCTTATTGTGAAATAAATACTGAATGTATACTGAAATGTGTTTTATATTCTTCCCTAATGCTATTCATATGCTAACCTGTTAGTTTTGAAAGACTCCTTTTTAACTTTCCCTCTATATTAATTTCCAAACTTAAGCTGAAACTTCGTTTGCAACATTAAACCACAGTATTTTATAAAAGAAGACTCCCATCATAAGTTATCTATTTTATGAAGCAGTATAGAGATTGTTTGTTGAATTACATAATCACCTTGTATTAATGTTTATTTTCTCAGATCAAATTATATCCAAAAGTGCATCCTGAAAAATTCGTTTACAATAGACTGTGCTACTTTCAGATTTTGCAGTGCGTCAGGAAATAATATTTTGAATCTATATTTTAATCAAAAGTTGCCATTCTTAATATTATATTATTTTTATTAAACACAGTGCTTTATAATCCACTCTTTTACGATTTTTAAGTAATTATAAAAATTTATAGTTGTTATTGAATAATGAAAAATATTTATGGCACCATTATAAAATTTAGCGTAGATATGTCAGCCTTGTTCAAAATTTGTAGCTTAAGAATAAACAATAATTTTTACTTTCCTTCATTTCGTAAAAAAGGTGATATCATGTCAAAACTTTGCAAATAATGTACCATCTATTAATGCAGTTATAAAAAATTAATTAAATAATAAATACTTCATTGTATACATTTAAAAAATTAGGAGCGCGAGAGAAAACTGTAAACATAGCAGAAATTTCCGCCTAAGTTAGAACTAATATTTAATATTGCTTCATAAATATTTGCGAATAAGCTATACATGGAAAACCATAAGCATATTTTGAGAATGTATTTTTGTAGCAAAAGACCGATGTTTATAGTGTTACCCATTGCAGAAAAACATGAAACTCTCTAAAATACCTTTCATATTTATCAAATAAAACTTCCATTTATATATCATTCTATATTTAGCAAATGAAAAACTGCTGTTAAGGATTTTTTAACGTTAAATTTACATTACTGTCATATAATAAATTATTTTTAAAATTATGTTATATAATCAGTATTGATCAAAATTGAAATGACTAGGGATTTAAAAGCAAATCTCTTACCTCAGTTTTCAAATTTTCCCCCTTTTAAATATACAGAAATACGCAATAAAATACCGTATTGTCTCAAAACATAATGGTGTCATATATGAAAAAGTTTTGTCTTTTAAGAATCTTTCAGAAAGACAAAAGGGGCTTACATATAAGATGTGCCCACGTATATAAGTTTGATATATCAAAGTAAGTTACAAGAAAAGCCATTAAAAGTCTAATCTTATTATTTGAGATAAAATTAAGTAAATATATCTCCCATTGCTTTACGAGTTAAAAAATACTCTTAAACGTATTCTTTAATATTAAGCTGCCTGATCAGGATGATTTCAGAAAGGAATAGAAATTGAAAATTTCGTCTTATATGCATCCACAATGGTATTAAATTTACTGAATTTTATTAAAATATAGATAGCTTATTAAGCTAAAAATTTATCCACTGTAAACAAATACTCTAAAGTCATTTTCTCACACAAACATGAATTAATGAAAAATGAAACGAAATAAAATTTTAATTGATAGGAATTTTTCAAAAATATCGTTATTGTTAATACCAAATCTCCAATAAATTTTAGCTTCGCATACCGTTTCAGTTAATAAATGATATTTAAACGAACAAGGCATCATCATTTGTCGTTCATAATTTCTCTGATGAAATAAAATTTGATTTATACTACCAAAGAGTGTATACCAAAGAGGGCTTAAATAAAACACATTATATGGAGTAAAATATCATTCACATATATTCATGAAAGCTAGTATAATTGTAAATATCAACTCTAAGAGCATAAAAGTTCGCCTAATATTTTTCAGAAAATATAATGTAATTACGACTCATGTTAAAGCTGTAGTAATAAAAACATGTATAATTATATCAGACATTAAACATCCTCATTAATTAATGTATAAAAAATTTACACCTGCAGTTGAAAATTGTAGGCTATTCCCCTTAAATAGTCTAAAATAGGCCGATCATTATAATCATTTACAATCTTTTGAATTCTGAGAGATGTATCTCTGTAAACTTTTCTACTTACTGGTGGATGGTGACCTGCAATGTATTGTTCAATTTTTATAGAATTTAAATTTTGTTCCTTTTTAAGCAATCAATAAATTTCCAGATTGTTGGATGGCATCCGTTCATAAGTTCGTTGAATCTGCGATGCCATCCTTCAACCGCATTATTTGTCCTTGGAACTTTATCTTTTACAGCATCATAACAGTTCCAAAGAGAGATGTCAAACACTGGTCTGCGACGTTGTCCACGACGAGTAAATCTACCAATCCATGTGTCTTCAAAATAATTTATGATTGGCTGAATGATGTTCATATTATTTACAAAATAAGTAGATGATATTAATTGTTCAAATGCTTCAATGACATCTGAAGTAGGAACGAAAGCCAAAGCTGCAAGTTGAGAGATTTCCAAAACGAAATTCGGATCAGTTTCATATTTACTTTGCAAACCTGCAGACTGAATCTTTCTATACACACACTGACTTAAATGAAAAAAACATCCTCTCTGAATGATATTCGGAAAGGAATTTTTAAAGGCATTTATGGCAGCCTTTTCAAAATCAGTCATTACAGTTTTGGGCTGCAGATTCGGTTTCAAAGATTTTATCACCGTAAACACTCTATTGTATGTTTCTTCGCGTTTGTTTGGCATTAATACATACACTGAAGGTATCACATTATCATATTTAACACCATGGATTGTATAAATCTGACTGAAAAGCGGTGGTGTTGCTTTAAAAGTTCCATCAGCAAACCAGTTCGGACATTCAGCCATGAAGTCCAGATTTCTGAGGGTCGAAAAAATTAGAATTCTGTCTGTCTGCACTCCACTGTCATACAGCAAAAATTTCTCTTCTTTTAGTGTTTTTGAAAACTGTTCTGGGATTACTAATTCTTCAAGACATCTAGGATTATGCAATGGCATTTCTCCGTGTCGAGCATATCTGATAATTTTTTTAATATTTTCCACTGGTGGTATATGCCCCGAAACAGCACAAGGAAGACCAATTGTACCAACTGCTGCTAAAGAATGTGTCGATTCTTGCGTTGTTACCGCACGCTCTTTAATTGAACTCATAATCTCTTTCGCTGTAATTTTGCCAGCATTTGGAGGATGCCCGTGAGATTTTTCAAGAATGATATTATCATCTTGAGTGTGAATTCGCCCTTTGCACTTACAAGTAAAATACTCTACACATTTCCAAATACTTTTCTCAGCACTAGCACGTTCAAAATTATAGATGTATCCTTTCACCATAAGTTGTTTACGGTTCTTTTGGCTGATGATATAGTGTGTAACGGCATGTTGGCTTCTCTGACAGAAAATGCAGTTAAGTTTCCGAGTTTCAGGTACAACTAAGACTTGGAGCATCAGACATACATTATTTACCTAATTGTCAAACAATGGTTTTCTCGAGGCAGGAGCCACCTGTTTTCCCCTTCAGGCTCAAATGACGTTTTACAGTTTGTTAAGTAAAAATAAGCAGGTGTTCCATTATTGAACACAGTTAGTATATGTTTATTAGTAGTTGAACACCAGGAAAATTTCTGTGAACTGAAAAATGTCAGCTAAGCAATTTACAATTTGATTTATTTTTAGTGTATCTGGAATCATTATTGCTAGTTTAAAACTAATGAGCAGTTTTTGTATATAGTGCTGGAACAGATTAAAAATTTAATAAAAATTAAACTCGAGGTTCCTTTCAGGTAACGAATATTAGCATCTTTACTGAGAAAAGCTAGTAAACAGAGTTTTGAAATCGGAATAAATTATTTAATTATTTTAAAATGGTTCAAACCCAAAGAAAAAGATCTTTAAATCAAATATCAGATAGTAATTGAATCTTAAAATAATTAGACTGAAATTTTATGATAATAAACAATTAGAAGTAAAATGAAGATAGAAAGAGAGATGAGTCTAGTTAGAATAAAAATATCTGTGTAGAATTAAAATAAAAAGAGTAAAAAATACAGCAATCCAACATCCAAGTTTTAGTTATAGAGATGTCTTATATAAGCATATTATACTCTAAGTAAAGTGGTAAAAAGCCTTCCGTGTCATATTTTTTGTACAACTGGTCTATTGTAATGATCTGAATGTTGAGTTTTATCAGAAGTACTTTATTAATTACGTATCTCGAGGTCTCTATCGATATTTATCCACGTATTGTCGAGCAGCGAGTACCAGATGCATGTAGATCACAGCCACTATCATACTATAAGACTATAAGAAAACCATTTACTTGAGAAACTTAAGATTGAGTCTACCAGGAAAATCAGAAATGAGCTATGAGCTTTAAATCTAAAAGTCACTCTGCACGTTTTTTGACGCATTTTCATTTTTTATTGAATCTTTTTGTTTTTGTTTCACATTTAATTTTATATGAACAAACGTTTCGCAAAGCATTCGAATTTATAAATTATAATCTTTAATCTTACTGTAATCATGACCCCTATTAGTGGTCGAATGGTTAAAATCGCTGAATGCTAGGAGTTTGAACGCAGTGCCATTTCAGGCAAAGAGGCTGGCTTCGTGGTTGGTATCGAGAAAGCCCTCATCGCAGGCATCCTTTCTCTAAGCTTGATAGCCTTTGTGTGCCTTGCCATATTTAAACAACCTAGCCTATTGTGTAAACATAGAAACATATGATAAGAGATTACACTCTTTATGGAAACGAAATGTACGTGTCGAAAGTGTGCAATTAAATTCTAGACATGTTGTTTACATATATATTTATATGTAAATGTAGTATGTAAATTGTGCAATGCGTTTATTTGCTAACAATTTTTATTTTTAGTGCATTTTTATAAAGAATTTAAATACTTCTTACATAATAACAGGACCGAGACAATGATGAAGAGAAAGAAGTACTCAGCTAGAATAAATAACTCAGACGGGAATTGCACGGGAAAAAATAACATGAAAGACAGTGTTATTTAAACCTGAAAATTAATTAATATGCATTATTCTCTGTCCTGATAAATATTTTATGTAGGTTTTTTAGTAATTAAGTCTTTTAATTAAGTTTTGTTTAATTAGGTTTTCTTATCATATGTGTGGAATTCAATCATTTAAGGTAATGTGGATTACCTCAGATAACAGGAAGTGCGGATAAATGGACAACTGTATTATTTCATAAAAAATTATCATTACGAAAATTTATTGCACACGGTACTGTTATTACGCAGTGTTATTACGCACGGTGTTAAAAAAATGTCCCTGAAAAATTATCCTGGAAAAAATGTTCCAGTAAACATGTTTCCAGAAAAAAATTAAATGTTTCTAGAAAATGTATGGCTATTTTCTTATTTTTCCAAATCTTATAGCAAACTATTTAGTGTCATATCATAAATATCACCACAAGTTTATATAACTTTTAAAATTAATGAACATTATTTAGCTTTTACATAAGAAAGAAAGTTGCCTTACATTTAATGAAATATGTTATACAAATGTACTAAATGTGAAATATTCTATAAAAGATACTTAAAGTGAATAGAATTAATCATACGATTGTGTTATGTGGATAATCACATATAAATTTAAACTAGGTCTTTGGAACATTGTGCATTATGCTTATCAATGTAGACGTTACGTCGATTATTTTTTTAACAGTTCGTCGTAAAGGCCAAATCATATTCCCAATTCGTAAAGCCGTATATCATACTCCTAGTTAATAATAATCCGTAAAATGATATTCCCAGTCCGTAAAGCCGTAGATGTGAAATATATGATATTTTATTCTTTAAGGGGCTGTGTTACAATTCTAAATTTCATTTTGTATAATTTTTTTAAAGATTACATTTTAATTTAGAATTAAGATTAATTAGATAATTAAGATTACATTTTAATTTAGAATTACTCGGTCCTGTTATTATGTAGATTTAATCGTACAGGAACAGACGTTGTGAACACGAGACATAAAGAAAGACAGTCGTGTGGGCGTTTGTTGAGCAATCGGAAGCAAAGGGGAATTAATGAAACATTTCGGAAAGCGGAACTGGAAAAAAAAAAAAAAAAAAAAAAAACCACAGTACTTTTAAAAAGCATTATACCAATTTCATTTACTTGTAAAGCACTTATATTTTTTCATTTCTTCGTATTATATATTTCTCATTATTTACATAAACTAAAGTTTTTATTCCTTAAATACATTAAATCGTAAAAGGAAATTTTATAATTTTTGTGTTTAAAGACCGGACACCAAATTTTTAAAGTTGTTTTGACAGATTAAAACATATTTCGGGAAAATTTGTATATTTCTCTTATTGGTCTGAAGAAGTATTTAATAATAAAGAAATTTTTAAAAAAATAAATAAATGCATAATGCACAGTTCTGAAAAGACACTGCTTAAAGTTTATATAATTAAAAAAAATTATTTAATTTTGGAAAATCTTGTTCCTCAGATTTTAAATATTTTCCATTCTCAGCGACAAAGTTTGAATTTATGATGTTTTATCATACGTATAATCGTAGAGTTTCGCCTCCTTAATCGAACTACGTAAGATATGTAATTTTATTGGAAAAAGTTTAAAATTTTGGATTATTCATTATTCGTATCGTTGAACTTTGGCCAAAAAAGAAAGAGAAAAATGTTAATTAAATCTATATTTTTAATATAATTCATTGATGAAATTATATATTAATTAAATAAATCTGTATGTATGAATACTTATATGCAAAAGAGGCAAAGGGCCTTTTTTCAAAAACAAACAAGGAAGGGCGATCTAAACACGTTTGAACTCTAAACTTTTCTGGGTTCTCTTTTTAAACTGCATGGTAGATGTAAAACACACAAATACTAAGAAGTTAAGAAATGCTATTTCTGTCTGTACATGGACCATCATCAGTAATGACCGAAATTTTCAGCTGTCTTTTATTAACCAAATAGCCTTCAGCGGCCAGAGGGGGGGACAGGACCCTGGAGTAAGGCTTGAACGAAACACCCGTTCTCACGGATGTTAACTAATGGTTGACTCTCCCCAATAGTATAAATAGCTGTAATTCATCCGCCCTCCCCTGAGTTCAGCCACTTAGCTTGTTTTTCAACTCAATACTCAAAACTAAGACCTTCAAGCGTTAGTTTCCCGAAAAGTTCTTAATTGCTTTCATCTTGCATACAGATTGCTACAATTCCCAGGCAAATCCTAATTCTCACTTCTCTTTCGAAACAAATATATACTACCACTATTAATGAAAGAAAAAATTTCATTTTATGAATAACTGAATATGAAATGTAATCATTTATTAAAAAATGAACTTTTGTAAAAAAACTCATAAATCAATATTCTGAAAATTTTAAGTGCGGTGAAATACAGCATTTAAGTCTCTCCCTTAACCCTTTCAGTCCCAATGGGTTAAGTCCCAGTAGATGTTTAAAGAAACCTAGAGAGAATTAAACGCATTAATTTACTACATAGTTGATGTCCCACTGGTAGCAGGCATCTTTTTAACATCCCCATTACAAAATTGTTGCGCGCATCTTCTTATAGAGGCTTAGTGACAGACTGTCAATTTCTGTTAGTGTGATTTGTGTCATTTGTGATAATTACCAAGAAGGCATAAAAAAATCAAGTCAGTTGTTGAAACAAATAAATTGGGATTGAAAGGGTTAAACAATTTAAGATGTTTTATAAATTTTCAGTATTTAGTTATTCAGATTTCAACCAGTAAAATCATCTTCTCCAAATGCCATTTGTTAAATGTATTTAAGTCCTCAAAAAAAGTATTTTTCCTTTCATTTAAAGATTTTATATTTTGACAACTTGCACATCCTTGTTTTTGATATTCTGCATTATATCACACGTAAAATTATAAATTTTTGCTCATAAAAACTCACAGATTCATGAGTCTATTTGAATTAATTGTGTTTCTTATATCCAAAACATGTTTAATATGTTGAAGACGTATATTAATAGAGTTTAACATGCATTAAGATAATTGAGTCACAGGATCAGTAAGAAACCATGGTTATTACCAAAATAAATAAGGACAATGTGCAACATAATAAAGACTACAGAAATGAATGAGGACAATATTTAAAATAAATAAGGACTATATACAGCTCCTCACACTCCCACATCATTACCACTACATAAGAATTAAACATGTTGCAACAATAAAATGAACAAAAAAGAGAGAGTCTGTGCAATCCATTACTCCAAAAAAAAACATATGT